GAGTTTTTAGAATCATCTCTTAAGTCTCATTATGTTATTAGGCCGAACCAAAGGTGTAAGGGAAGACTAGAGCCGAACTCGAACTCTTGGAGACTAAAAACACAAGACCACTATGTAAGTGATTTATGGTTATTGTAGTAGTTTCCCTATGGTTGCCACCCTCTTTATGTAAAGTGTTGGTTTGACTGCAATCTGTTATATGGTGCATAACAGTGTTATGTTTGGCTGTTTGGAACTAATGTTTTGTTCATGCAAGATTTGTTATGATGGCCTGTGCACTAATACCACAGAGGCAACCTGACGAGGACCCTGGGTATTCGTCCGTAAGACCATGGAGAGTAATTGCCATGACATGATTGGTATGATGATTTGAAAGCATGATTATCTTCCAAACTATGTTTCAAATGCTTTTCAATTCTATTATTGTATATGTTATTATATGACAGTTGCAGGAGTGAGCATCATGGTTTGGAGGTTGCTCCAACTGTGAGTCCTTACTGAGACCCCCAATCTCACCCCTCTTTGGGGATCCCCATTTCAGGTAAAAATGACCAAGTGGATAAGGAAAAGCAAGAGATTGGTACGGCTTAAAGATGATGCTACGCAGTCACTTTCGGATAAAATTTTTAAGCTTTATAATGAAGGACAGATTAAGCAGGCTATGCATGTTATATGGCTTGAACTATTTGGAGGCTATGACTATACTGAGTCCCTATGCATTGAGTGATGCACTTTATTTATAATTGGATGATTGTAATAGATTATTTACTTATGCTACTTTAGACATTTAACCTGCGGTTAAGGTATTATACTTTGAGTGTTTGAACTTAAAGGGCCTAATATTTTATGGACTATGCAATTAAATAGTAGGATTTATAGATTTCGGCCATGCCTTGTTATTTATGGGTAATTGATTAAGTTTTATATGTCACCTAATGCATTAGGGGGTATGAATAAGGCTAAGACTTCACCATGATACCTACGACTAATTAAGGAAACCAAGAAGGGATATTTAACTTGTAGGAATTTTTCATAAAGAACTCAAAGGTCATTGCATGTGTGGCTGGAATTTTAGAATAATAGGAGGACCTAATAATAAAACTGTACATGGTGATTAAAGTAAGGATGGATAGAAGTAGATCACAAGATGAGTTAGAAATTCCTATGAACACGAATCATGACATAATGTACCCTAGGCTTTGGGAAAAACCGTAGACGCTAAGAACTCATGACTAAATGGATAACTACAATTGTTAGCATGGAGGGAAGAAGAACGAAATTAATCCCTCTTAGAATCCAAAGTAGACCACGCTTAGAATAAGTCTTCCGCGCTAAGTATGAAGTTAAGCAATGTTAACACCTATGGATTGAGTATATAAAGAGGGTGTTACATATGTGATCCTTCCTGTTTAGAAGAAGGTGAGATAACAATCATTGGAGTTTTTATAAGTACTAAATAAAATAAAATAAAATTACTAAAACAGAAATAACTATAATCAAGAGACAACAAGGTGGTGGTTAAAACAGTTTAACAGAAGGAACGGATTCACTGCTTCACTCTTAAAGGGGCTGTTTTCTCTGCTCAAGACTTAGCACCTTTTGGCTTTGTCCCGGTTTCTTTGCCTGCCAACTCTGATTCCTCAGCTCATGGTCTAGATGGCTCACAAGTTTCCATATTCCTATGGCTCCCTTGACTCCAACAGGTACTTAGTTCAGAACCTTAAAATGGACGAGTTGGCCCCTTATTCCTAAGGTGACCAATAGCGTTTTTGCCATGACATCTACCTTCCCCCAATGGCTAAGCTGTCTGAAATCCCTTCCTTATGAAAGTTCCTTTCTCAGTATGTACCCAATTTCCATTGGCGCACAATGAATATAGCTTACTTAGCCAAAGAAATACAAAAAGCGTCGGTCAAGAGTTTTGAAAACATTTCTTTAAGAGTTTCACAGTTTACTCGTTCCACAGATAGTTCAGCTCATGGCTGATAGTTTAAACATAATTATTCTCAATTGAGATCACATAGACCCGAGATTCAGTCAAGAGATAACAATTGGAACGAAGAGAAAAACACTTATATTAATTTAAAAGACAGTTTACAAAAAGAAACAGAAAATGGAGATAGATGGGTATTTGCTCGTGAGGAGTCTTGATGGTTGTTTACAGAGAAGGGAAGAGGGTTGTCGCTTAACTATAGTTACAACTGAAAATTAAACTAAGTTACTAATTACTACTAAGTAAGTCACACAAATTATGAAAAGATCTTTTATCCATCCTTGTATTCTCAATACAAGTTGTGTCAGTAATATACACTATTCTATGCAGATTAACTTCCCTTATCGGAGCCCTACTGCAAAAATCTCATGTGACTCTCCTTGAATTTTTTCTTTTTTCAATTTCGGCTACTAACAAAGCATAAATTCTCAATAAAACCAAAGTCAACTGATTCAAAGACTACAAATGACAAATGAGAACAACAGTGACACCCAACTCCATTCCATTGTTCATTGCCACGATCTAACACAATAAGGTAAAATTTAATTCACATTACTACAAAAATCCACAACTTACAAAACAAAAGAAGAACAAAATGAAGAAGCCTAGTATATAGAGCAACAATAGAAACACAAACAGACACTGCAGACCATACAATCTTCATTTATCTGCATTGTACACGTTAAACACAAAATATGTTCAATTCCAGCCTTCGTACACAATCTCAGGCTTATATTTTACTATTACTTATTGGTGAACAGAATTATGATTCCATTAAACAGTTCTGAATTGGTTCGGACGAATTGTCAACATGGAAGTGTTTCAAAGCTTCTGATGGCCATTGTTTAATTTTGATGCTACACAATTTGGGATTGCCACAAGTATTACACAAAAATTTCACATTATAATACATGCAAATATTATTGAAGTAGACATGGATGCAACATTCAATTTTCAAGATTTCCTATTAAAAAATGTCATATAACACATTGAATTTGCCATTTTAAGCTTACAAAATATATGTGTAATGTCATATGTTTTTACGGGGTGTCATGTAAGATAATGCTACAGTCAAGACTGGAGGGGTTAAGCTAAGTAGCATTCAAATTCAATTACTATTGCTACCCCATGTATACTATTGTGAAACCATAGAGCCAACACAACTTTGTAGTTGTTGCCAATAAACTAGCTCCCAGACCTTCCACAACAAAGATAATTATAAGAGATCCCCATCTCCTAATCTATATTCTCTATTACTATTTTACCCTGAAATTCCATCAATCAGAAGGTAAAAATAAATGAAGGTACATAAATGCTTCTTCCTAATTACACCATCTAATACTTGAGCCCATCCAACAATAAAGTAAAACACTAATAAATTGCATGGTTTTATCTTCCTCCCGATTAGGTTGCACAAAGTTCCATCACAAGATATTACTTTACACAATAAGCAACATGCCTACACTTTTCATCTGAAACACTTTGAATCAGAACAATGTCCCCAAGAAAGATGACTCAAAAAATTTAGCAAAAAATTATCAAATCATTATTATGTATAACAACAACTTTAATACTAATCTTGAGCATTAAATTATGTGCGTTATAAATTAGCTGTTTAGATTAACAAAATAATTCCACATCCTAAAGTCCCAAATTTTTCTAGTATTCCCATTTTTACCATTTCCCTTCTATAGTAACTATAATCTCAGAATACACATGCAATAAACCATATGGGTATGAAACTGTCAACAAATACATACCCTCTTCTCCTTATAAAAACACTGGTCGTTCCACAAGCTAGACAACTCCTACTTGTGTATAATAATCAAATCACCTGTCACAGAAACAACACACAAACCTTCAGAACCACTCAGGCCAACACATACAGATCACGAACCAAATCTCATGTAACCGAAGGAAAGGGAAACTGGAAAACTTATTCACAAGAAATGTACAACCACAACCCCCAGTTAGGACGGTAAAATGCTAGATAAAAATGGAATGCTCATACAAGGAGGAGAAATACGATAACCACGGTAAATGGGAGACTTACGCCTGAAAGTAGTACATCTTGAACTTCAGCATTCTGCAGATTTCGTCCACTCCGATTAGAAGAAACTGTTTACAACAAAACAAAACAATTTTTTTTTTTAGGACTTCCAACCTGCACATATGCTTCATGCATGCAGCTAATATGTCAACATTCTTCACCGATATACCTTGTGATGTGTAAACAGGGTAAACGTCCAAGCTTCCACGGTAGAGTAGATCTTCTTCCAAAAAGATGCGACTAACTACAAGGAGAGAGAAAAAGCTTTCACAGAGATCGTACACAAAACAAGATAAGTTTCGTCCAGATTTTTGCGGCTTATTTTCCACTTCCCCAGGCAAGAAAATTTTCCATCTAATCCATGAAAATTTTGAGCTGAGTATCGTATAGTCGTACACAACTTAACAGATAACGCCAAAATATTTGCGTGGAAAGTTTTTCATTTTTTTTCACCAAACATAGGAATGTCATTTCTCCAATGATGATATTTGGGGAAATGTAAAATATTCATGGTACCAAACGGGCCCTTAAGAAGAAGGCAGAAGATTTGTCCGCCTGGCAAGCTGCGCAACACCAAAACCACCCATTTAATTTAGGGTAAATGGATTGTTATGTGACATAATATAACACCATATTCCTACTCTCACAATGGAATGTGGGTCCCATCCCTTAACTTTTCTCTCTCTACTCTTCACTCTCCTCTCTCCTCTTTATTATGAGAGTAGGAATTGTTATGTTACACCATGTAACATAACAATCCATTTACCCTTTAATTTATCAAAGAAACCGTGGTCGCTGCTGCGTATTCGTTAAATCATTTACACACACCCCATACTGATAACGGCTCACACTAACTGATCCCTCCCGCATACGGCCATACCATTATTTTAACATTTTTTAGCATCTTTTTATTATTATTATTATTATTATTATTATTATTTCTCCTGTGTGGCTTTTTCTTCAAGTTTACTGCTTGAACCTTCAATTATATTTAGTATCCCTCCCTGCATTTCTCACACTCTATCATCTAAATTCATTTGCTGCTTCACATCAAAGATTTCTGCACTCAACTCAACTCTCTTCTTGCAATACCAATCATCATGGCGTCACTAACAGCTGTTTCTCAAATCCAATCCCTTTATATCAAGACCCATGTCTCATCACCTAATCATCAATTTCGCCCAATTTTCTTGCCCAGTAGATTATCAGTGAAGTTTCAGGTTCATCGTGGTGTTTTTGGGATGCCTATGAAGAAGGCGGTTATAGTGTCCGCAACAACGGCCGAGAAACCCAAGAAGCGTTACCCCGGTGAGTCCAAGGGGTTCGTGGAGGAGATGAGGTTTGTAGCCATGAAGTTGCATACCAAGGACCAGGCCAAGGAGGGTGAGAAAGAGGTCATGGAACCCGAGGAGAGAGCTGTGACCAAGTGGGACCCAACGATTGATGGGTACATAAGGTTCCTCGTCGACAGCAAGTTGGTTTATGATACACTTGAGAAGATCATTGAAGAGGCTGCTTATCCTTCATGTGAGTTTTTGCTGTGACTCTGTGTTATTTCTCACACTATTCTTAGATATTTTAACCTAGTATTGGTTGTAATTATGAGGTTGGTATAGTAGCTAAGTGCATGAGTTAGAAGCGTTCTGTGTGATGTGATTTGTACTTGTTTGAAAAATGATTCTCTAATCTTGGATTTTCATTTGAGTAATTGGTATTGGAACAAAAAAAAAAAAAGAAAAAAAAAAAGTGCTCACAATATACCTGAATATTACTTGTCCTTCAGCAAAAGATTTAAAAAGCGTTCAGCATTTTGCACTCTGTAATTAATTTCATTCATAATTAACTGCCTGGAATCTTCCTTAATGTTGAATGACACGGAATTATTAAGAGGATAGCAATGGATAAAAGGGAACGGAAGAAAGAGTTCTGCCTTACTCAATAGGGTGCTATCTAATATTGAATGCCATTATAAATTAAGTTTTGACACATTGTGAAATTGTCAGTATGTGAATCTTATTTAGTCTCACCTTATAGACTTGGCGAACTTATGACTTAGAATAAATGGATGGAAGGAAATAATTAGTAATTTTGCTATCTTTCAAGTAGTAACCATCCAAGAAACTAGAGAACATCTCCAAATCTATTTCGACTTCTCATATATATGTTTCAAACCCCACAAATGGTTGCTGCTACTTCTTGCACCTTAAAACCTTTATTTTATGTACCCTACTCACATATTAGCATTACTCCATGAACTATGACCCAAAACTTGGTTGGCCCTTCACCACCGAAGTATGTAATAATGTTACTATACACTATCTGTTTATGGTTAACAAGTTTATTACTGCTGAGTTCCGTGTCTAACTGGTCAAATTGTGACTGAAGCACCACTCCACTTCATTGTAAAGATATTCCTTGAAAATACTTAAGTCATTCAATGCGTCACTTTGACAAATCTACTATAGTAAACATGTAGCTTGTTTTGTTAAAAATCCTGTTTTGAACTTGATGCATTTGCGTTACTTATGCATTGGTGACTTAGCAAATGCATATTATAACAATAAATAATGCATACCATTTGTAATTTAATTTATGCTAATTGTGCCATGACAGTAATTTGCTATCCATTGTTAATTATCATTATAGTTATCTTATCTTGGCACTACTATTATGTTTAAACTTGACAACCCAATCAAGTACCTAATTGCAGCGTATAAGTATATTATATTCTATTACAAGGGCTGTGATATGTGAGTTTCTTCTATGTATCAAATAAGCTACATAAGGAATTCTGAGCATAAAAAAAAGAAGGGGGGTGGGGGGTGGGGGGGAACTAGAGTTATAAAACTGACTTAACCTGCCTTTGAATCATAACTAACGTTAGTTTAAGACTGAGATTTGATGCTTACACTTCCTATCTGTTGGATAATTCCTTTAGCTTGGAATGATCCTAATTGTGATACCTATGATGGTGATAATTGCATTGCCACATTAGTTCTTCGGATGTTATGATAAAATTCTCTTTTTCCAACAGCCTTAATTCCCTTAGGTTGTTTCCTAAAATACGCACATGGTTTGGATGCTCATTCTGTGTGATGGTTGATGACATTTGGATTAAAGATGTTAATTGGCTTTTGGTGGTGTTTCATGAAACAAAATGCTTCTAGTTGATATATGGCCAAGGGCCGAAAGGCCATACAAATTACGGGTTCTATGTTACATTTTGGGGCGTTGTATTATTGAATTCATTGATTGATGATATGTGACGAGTAATGCTTAAGTCTTGTATGTCGGTATAAGGACATTACGTTGTGTCTGTTGAGATAATTTAAATTGTATATCAGCAAGTAATCTACATTGGTAGTGATGTGTGAACCCTTTTCATCAAGGGGTGGAGTAGGACTACTCTTATGGGTGTTTATTCAAAATTTTGAGGACAAAATTTTAAAAGGTGGGGAGAATTGTAGCTGCCGTCTTAGTAAATCCTAAGCGTTGGGGCTGTTTCGTAAAACTTAAAATAAAGAGGCAATTTATTACTTATGGAATTTTTGGGGGTTTCAATGCAAAATTTAAAAGAATAAGTTAAGAGCCAAATTTAATGGGCTGAGGTAAAACGTGATGAGTGTGCACCCAAGACCTTCAGTCATTTGTTTCTCATCTAGGGGTGCATGTAATGAGTGCAACCCAACTAGGATAGGAGTGATTTCATAGAATACCATGAATCACTCAACCATTTTCTGATTATTCAGAAGGAGAGTTGCCATCGTGGAATGGATTTCACCCACACCATTTCTTTTATTCCACGTTGCTAAACTTGAAGTCTTACACAACCTCTCTCATATGCTAAGAATTCATCTAAGGTCTCCTTTTCCTTTTTGGCAATTCCAGCCACATTCCTCACCTTTAACCATCAACATCGAGTGTTACCCTGATGAAATTAACCATTTCTGAATTCTCACGGGGGAAGAGGAAATTCTTTGAAGCCCTTATTCTATAACTGATGGAAGGAGTGTTGAAAGAATGTGTTTGATACTTTGAGCCTCAAGGGGATGGGATATTAGAAGAGTCATTGCATGTGGGGACAAGTGTGAGAGCGGAAGAAAAAGAACCCCCTTGAGTAAGAAGAAGGAATAAAGCTACGCTTTGGTAACAAGTATGGGTAATTTGTTGCTGTAATTGGGTTAGAAGATAATCATAAAGAGCACTACTATGATCTTGAGAGTTCAGACCAAGCAGAAGTTGTAAAATGGAGATTTTTAGAAAATATTTCACTTACAAAGGATCAAACCAAAAAGCTCTATTGCTTGTGGAGATAAATCCAATTCCCTTAAGTCTTTTCCCTATTCTGTTCGGCCAATGGCTGTTCTGACCTTAAATAATTTTATTAATTAATTGAATGTTGTGTTAATGTGAAAATTGGAGCTGCATGGTATAAACCATGATGTGATTCACAAGTTTTCCTCTTTTCCTTTGATTGATTTGGTTGTAGTTAGATAGCCTTGACTTAATTCTATTTATGAAATCTTACTCATTCAAGGTGTTAAATTGTGTCAGAGATAAAATAAAAAGGGTGTTTGAATATTTGGCTGAAATATGTTTATAGCCAAAACAGTTCCGTACTTGTTTTATAAGATAGTTGATTCTTGTGAGCTCCAGTTGGGTATATGAATACTCTTTTTCAATTAGTATTTCTAAATATGTTAATCGTATTGACACTTGTATTAGGTTTATAAAAAGATCTGCGTGTGTTTTGAGCCATGAAATTACTCGTATCTATATATTATAGCCCCTTGTAAGTTGTAGCAATGGCTAAATGGTTCACGATGATAGCTGAAGTAGGTATGGCATGTATGTTTGAAGTGTGTATTATGCACCTAAGATTGCCTTGTCCCTTGACTTGACATCACATGCATTATTCAAAGTGAAGTATTTTATGAAAGAATTGTATAGCCCATTGCTATGTTAATGAGAACATGTATGCTGCCCTCATAAGTACTGTGGCAGAATTCTGAGCATATGATGCTTATGTTTGAAGGGCCGGCCTGGCTCAGCAGTAAGCTTGCTTACCGTGGTGTTCCAGGTCAGGGGTTCGACTCGGCCCCCCTGCAAAGCAGGGGTGAGGCTTGACTCAAATTTCCCTTCCCCAGACACTCACGGAGTGGGTCTTGAACTGGGTCGGCCTTTTAACAACTGAAGTATCATATTCTACGGTGAAAGAGTACAACAATTTGCTGGATCCTTTTTTTTTAAGTTAGAAGCTACTTATAAGCATAAGCTAGGCCAAACAGGTTTTGAGAAAAGCTCTTATAATGAAAAACTTTTTTTTATAATGAAGAAAAAAGCTGAAAGCTAAAAGTTCCTAGGATGAGCTTTTTTTTAAGCTCTTATATGCTTTTTTTGAATTGTGTGCTTTTTTTTAAAATGAAGAGTTACAAAGATAAAGAGAGAGAGATAATTTTCTTGAAATATGTTCTTTTAAGTAACTTTTAAGCTAAATTTTTTATGTGATTATCAAACAGCTTTTAGCTTTTTTTAAAGTTCTTTTTTTTTAACTTTAGCTTATAAGTAGCTTCTAGCTTAAAAAAGAGAGAGGATCCAAACAGCCTCTTAGTCTTGATGTAGAAATATAATTTGATCTGGTTAATAAGTTTCAGGATTTTAGAAACATAATAGAATGATTATTTCTCTTGTAATGTGGATATATTGCTATTTCAGTTCATGATTGAAGCTCCAAGATTTTGTGCATGTGACAAGTGAATAATTATACTTGAATATAAAATAATATGTTGTATATTGATCTAATTCAGAGAGTTACAATATATAGAGACCCTAATGGGCTTAAGTGAAAGGCCCAGACCTAATACAATCAGAATATTTACGGATAGGAAGTAATCTAATCATATCTAATCACATCTAATCATATCTAATCACATCTAATATATTCTAACACTCCCCTCAAGCTGGTGCGTATATATTGTGAGCACCAAGCTTGTTACAAATGTATTCAACCCGAGGACCTCTAAGAGCTTTAGTGAAGACATCCGCTAGTTGATCAGAAGAGTTGACGAACGCTGTCTTGATTTCTCCTGACTGAATCTTTTCTCGAATGAAGTGACAATCAATCTCTATATGTTTGGTCCTCTCATGAAATACAGGATTAGAGGATATATGTAGCGCAACTTGATTATCACAGATGAGTGTCATGGGTTGTTTCTGTTCACAAAGATGAAGCTCCTGAATCAACTGCTTTAACCAGATTAACTCACAGGTAGTATTTGCCATTGCACGATACTCAGCTTCTGCACTAGATCGAGCAACAACAGGTTGTTTTTTGCTCTTCCACGAAATTAAGTTTCCTCCAAAGGAGACACAATAACCGGAAGTAGAGCGCCTGTCCGAGGGTGATCCTGCCCAATCAGCATCTGAATAACCACAAATTTCTGTATTTCCCTGATCCGAATACAACAAACCTTTTCCTGGTGCTCCTTTGATGTATCGGAGGATCCTCACAGCAGCATCCCAATGTG